CTCAAAAAACGCTTCTACTAAAAGCGATCGGGAACGGATCCCGATCGGCGGTCTTCCCATGATCATCGTTGGCCGCCGCTGTTCTTGGCGAGATCGTCTCGTTCAGCAGGGGAAGACGTGCACTCATTCATTCTTTCATTTCGGCAACGAAAATGTCTCTTTGTTGTCGGCTCGTGGGTGGTGGAAAATTCGCAGCTGTCGTCAGCTGGTCTCAGCGCCTCCACTTTATCCTGTTCCCGATTACTGGGAGCGGCGGATCTTGCGTATCCACGACGCTCTCTGAGTACTGCCGAATATTATGTACGACCTATCGTACTTTGGCCTACAATCGACGACAGGTGTCCCGTTTCTGAACTCGTACACAGCGAAGTACGAGGGTCACCGCTCCCACGCTAGACCGAGTCTGTCTTTATATCTGTGCATCTGCTCGGCCGGCTGAATTCTTCTCTTCGGCTACAACTGTTCTCGCTGCCGCCGGGTGGGGTTTCTCACTCTCGGCTGGTCGAGGAAGTTCCGAGCGAACGAGAAAAAGAACGGAGAATAGAAACTGCGTGCCGGCTCGTTTCCCTTCCTTTCGGAGGCCCGCTGCAGGAAACTGGTCCGCGCGAGCTGCTTTCCAATGTTTTGGAAGTGTCCTCGCTGTTCGTTTCCCTCCCGGGCAAGAACAGTCATTTAATTTTGGTTCTAATTAGAAAAGCATATCTTGCTTGAGTCAATCTACCCCGGAAAGGGACGTCGTCCCCTCGAACTCGGCCGGGGCATCCGACCAGGACGGAGGCCCGGGCCGAGATACGACGGGAATCGACGAACATATGCGCGAATATGAAACTAATGCTCTCGGAAGTGGTTGCACAAGCCTTCACTACACCGCCGCTGTTATTGTGGACCAGGAGCACACAGGCCGAAGGGACGGTGGCAGGAGCAGCAGCACACCGCAGAGAGCTTTGGCTATGACACCGAGCTGGCTGTGCCCCTTTTACGGGCCTTTACGATGCCCCGTCGCGTCTCCTGCCCCCTGCAGCACGGTATTAGCTGCAGACCGCTTGGCCGCAGCCAGGACGGCAGCAAGCCAGCGCAGCGCGCGGGAAGGCGGGCGGACTGCCTGCCCACCTATGGCGACTGCAGTTTCGACGGTATATTTAGCGAAGCTGCAGCGATGGCCTAGCTCAGTTCAACCGAAGACGGGGTGCGGACGCCGTGTGGCGTGGAGTTTTCTGTTCGGTCTCGGAGCGGGCGCCGCCGAGTTTTCTGTTCCGCTGATGGTCGACCTCTTTATCTTCATCCGTATGTTCCGCCAGCCGAGTGTCCGCATCTTCCCAGCTGGTCCTCGGAAAGTTCATGAAAAGCCACCTGTACTCCTCCGCTCGGGGAGATCTCTAGTGCGCCTGCTTGTTTCCCAGTGAGGGAGTGGGCATGACGGTTCGGCGCTCGGTTTGCGAGAATGCTCGTGAGCTCGTGAGGCTTTCGCGTCCTTCCATCGCGACCGAGGACCGATTCTGCCCTACGAGACCCGAAGATGTGCGCCGCCAGTGAAGTGTCCGACAACTGTACTTGAATTGTGTGCTAGCTGGCTCGCCCGTAGCAAGCACTGTCCAGATGGATGATCGTCCGTGAGAGTTGCAACTGCGAAGCTAAAAAACCAACTTCATCTTAACGAGCCGGAAATGGATCCGAGAGAAACCGGTGACAGGTGGCGACCGGCTGGTTACTTGTGAGTGAGAGAAGGCTGCCTGCCTGCCTTTTCGGTCCGTCGACGCTCGCTGTTGTTCTGTGGGGTGAGAAGTTCAAGCTACCTAGCCAGCTCCCCACCTACCAGACGACTAGAACCAGTCTGCTGGCGACTCAGTCAGCCAGCCAGGCAGCCGAACAAAGCCCAGTTGGTCTCCGGACTGCCTCCGGATACACCTCTCAGTCAGAGAGCCAGGATTGGTTGAACGGCTGCTCGCTCGCTCGCTATCTCGCAGGGCTGGCTGGTCACTCGTTCGCGTTCATTCATACATTCATTCATTCGCTCGTCGTTCGTCGTCGTTGTTCTGAATAAAGACCGGCTCAGGAACAAGCTCCAACCAGTCGGTGCTCCGAGTTTCAAGCAGAATGTACTCGGTCTACCATGAGCAGCGACTGCTCACCGCGCTCAGCCACAGTGATTTCGTTCTGCACGTTCGGGCTATTTTCCGGAAAACGTTGCCGAGTCGTGATCGCACTCGGTCGAAACTCGAACAAGGACTCAAATTCATTCCGAAGCAATTGAGAAAACGTCTGACTTCTTGGTCGAAGCTGCGCGAGAGCACGCAACCATGAGAGTGTCTTGTGACCACGGAATAACGCGATTGCTGTGCATTATACGCCGTCCTTGTTTCTGCTCTTGTTGTTTCGTGGACGTGTGAACACTATAATGACAATGCTGCTCGGATCTGGTGACTGATGGAATTGTGCTACCTCGAGCGACAAGTGTTCATTAGATGTCTGTGATTGGGAGGTTGAATTCGTGGCGACGATCTGCTGGTCTACGGTACGGAACGCGGGAAAGCAGAAACCTTCCGGTTGACTCGCCGGGCGACAGTTGAAGGATACCGACGTCAACTTCGATCATCTTTGCCCGAGCCGGAGCATGTCGCGTCCGTGAAGGAAGATTTCCGAGAAACTCCATCCTCAGGCTAGCGATCCGAACCGGGCTATCTTGGTGCACATCACTAGAAATTGTCGTTCATAATAAGCGCAGTTGAAATCGGAACACCTGAGGCTGGAGCCCGCAGTTGGAGCTCGGGGATCACCGTCGATTAGATTTCCCGTGACGGGATGTAGCAGGAACAACGATCCCAGCACCAGCGTCAAGGGTAGTCGCAGCAGCAAGGCCCCATCGATAGATCTTATTGCTTAGCGGTCCCGCACCCGATGCTCCGTGAGAAATATGGAATACCTTGACCGGGGTCATGGTAGTATGGGAAAACGCTCGTTGCGGAGGTTGAAGAGTGCCCGGATCCTCCGAAAACGCCTCAGCGCCACGAGATCGGCCCCATCGTCTCTGCGGAGGGCAGCGACTTCGCTTCGGAGGAAATCCCCTGTCGCTTACACGAGTGAGTGAAGCATCCAGCCAATGTATGATCGTCCCGACAGTTCCCGGGGTCTCTCGTGAGACGTTCACGAGATTGGAACGAATCGTTCGATTCCGGAACACCTGTCGCCTATCAGCGTGTGGACCGCTGGGATTTTGAACGCCTGGAGCACTCGACCTGCACTCCATCTTCATTGAATGAGCCGATGACGAGGAAGCGTCGATTCTCTCTCCCGTTTTGCGAGGCGTATAATGCTTACGGCGAGTTTCGTTTCGTTTGAGAAGCACATGAGCGATTTTATGTAAAAACCAATAAATTCCACACCGTGATGCTCGCACAATTCATGGGCCTGTAATTATTTTTCACGTTTTTGCCTGCACCTCCTCCGGGCATTCCCGCACAATATTCCGGCTGGATGTTTCCTCTCTCGGAACTCACCCGCGATGTCGTCGTCCGTCGTTGACGGGTACAGAGGGCTGCCCAGTCTTTCCGATCGATGTTCACCAATTATTCATCATTTGTGCTGTAAACTGTTTAGTTCGGCCGTGATCGTGTTTACTCAGGCCGAGGCGATCGGAGAAGCACTCCTTGTCTGGCTGCACTTTTTCGCTCAACCACTACACCACCATCATACACTCACCAACTTTCCCACAGGCCAGCGGACCTATTGACGGACTTGGGCGTAAACTTGCTACGATACAACTATATTTTTCCCTGTCGACTCAGGGCATGAAGTAATAATGGCCTCCCCGGCAAGATGGAGTGATCTTCCGATTGTACGGATTGCGCTGTGGGATACATTTTTTCAGCTCGTCATCGACTGATATCATGTTTCGAGCCCGAGAGCTCAAAGGGATAGTCTCAGGGGTCAGAGAGAAAGACCCGAGGCCATTCATTTGCTAATGAATGGCGACTTTCGAGCACCTCGGAAATTAAAGATCGCTCTTCTGATGGAGTAGTCTGCCTCGTACCATCCCGGACATTTTCCGTCGGAAGCCGTTCCCGACGTGGAAACGTGTGCATCACCAAGTTTGCCCGAGTAATTAGGGAAGAACATCAGAGGCTGCGGTGTGTCCATCTTCATCCGTCTGAGAGAGCACAAAACCTACCACGCTCTCGGAGGTCCCTCGCTCATCCTTCGACTTATCAAGTGATCACTTTTGTGCAAGTCCCCCTTGCTGAACATCAGAGGGAACAGCAAGCACATATCCTCCGTCTCCGAGAAGAAACGTTCGCGAATATCCTCTTCAGACGTTCCGAGTTTCCGAGTCTTGAAGTTCGTACATTGTATCATATATAAATCGAATGCACCAAATTTAGAAGCCGCTGCTCATTTTGAGTAGCAGCGAATCATGAAGCGAGGCCATGACCTTAACCTTAAGCGCCGCTTTGTTATTCATTGTTCCGATAATCGGTGACGACTCTCAATTCGAGTTGTTCCTATCGAAAAAGAATCCTTGCGACAGATTCTCGCGTGGGTTCAGATGAGTGTTAGCGAAGAGAGCGGGGCAAACTTGCACTCCGCGCCTTCGAGAAGAATGGCCTAAACTCTAACTAGCCTTGTACCCTTCTTGCCGCGATAATGACGTCACTGCTGGCCTCAGTCAGTCAGTCAGTCGGACCGGCCGACAGCATGGCTTCGCAGACTCGAGAGCAACATTTTCTGTGTACAGTGTCGAGTTCGGTCTCGATGAAAACTTCGGAATGTTGCTGCTGTAATTCGATAGTGAGTTTATTGTCTCGGACAAAGCGATCGTCTGGCTGTGTGACATTCTTGGTCTCTGTCATCGCCCGGACGATATGCTGTGTAGAGAAAATCCTCGAGAACGTTCACGATCCCGTCGCTGACGTCGAGAACGCGGTCTCACGGGGAAAAAGTGCGTGTTCTGTGCGATGCCGATCCCGGCTTTCCTCCTGTCACAGTGTTTCACCACGGGGATCAGCATGACTCACATGGAAAAAGGTACGATCTTGGTCGCGTACTCTGCGGGCGTTCGGAGTCGGCTGCGGACACGCAAGCCGCCCCAGACTTCGATCTCCTGACTTTCGATCTTGACTAGACCACGGTGATAATTGTTTCCGTTCGAACGATCGAGGTCTCTGAAAGCACCTGAATATCACCCATCGTTCTCTGGACTATTCGGACGATTCTGGAAAATGAATCGAATATGGAGAACGACGACGAGCACAGCTGATTATCGCTCCGAAGAGCGAAACGCTCTCGGAAATCGAGTGCTTTTGAATACCTGCTGCCGACAATTCGACGATCTCTCTATGCTTCAATGGAAGCCCGTGGGGTGAACTCATCCGTTCGAGTGGAGGCAAGGCTCGTTTCGTCTGCCCGAATTTTCATGGCCTCATATCGATAGCGGGAATTATTGCCCCTCGTTGCAGAGTACGAAGCAAGACTCACAATGCGTATAGCCGGGAGCGAATCGTCGTCGTAATTTTTTGCGAGCATGCTTCTTCCGAACAGTCATGACTTTTGGTTGAGAGAGCTCTGAGAGGACGAATACACGCAGACTCTTACACAAAACGGTCGCTTACCCTACGACACTTGATTAGGTAAGCTAATTGACTGACCCTGGAAGAATGTTACGCCCGGCCTATGAAGGTAATTCGCATAGGAAAATACCGATGTCTGAGCTCTTCGAAACGCAGAAATCCTGGATTCTCCGAGCCGAAATCTCCTCGTACGGGAAGGCCGACCTCCCGCGAGGGACTCTGGAGCAATTTTCCTAATACATTGTTTGCTAGGCATGTGATCCGTTGTCTGAGAAGCGAGGTCTGCCACTGCCTTCTAGGAATTTTTCCACGGTGCGCAACGACTTTGACGTTATTGTACCGGTAGCCTCCGGCTGCACAGCTATCAGCCTCAACGATCGCTGCAATTCGAGACTTCCCGACTCAACGATCCCTCCAGTCCCTGGAGATTTATGCTCTCCGACGCGATGAAGTGCCGGGGAAATATCGTTCAAGCTCCGCGAGATCAAAAAAGCTCACCTCCCTTTCAATGAGGGAGGTTCCATTCTTCTCCGAAAAACCGCGCGCGATCGAAGAGTCGAGCGAAACACCTTATATGCGCATACACCCAATGCATAGGATCTTCCTGGAGCTGGAAAGCTCCGGAGGAGTAGCTGCCCAAGATGACGCGGCGAGCTCCCAGGACATGGGGAAGTTTTGATGAGGCTTCCCCATTGATACCCGCTCCCGCATTTATCGGAAAAACACATCGATCTTTTCCTCCCTCTGATCTACCCGAGCCTTCTCGAATCACCGTAGTAAAGGGAATGTTTTGTGAGAGAAGATGACGACGGCATCGATTTTTTCTGACGCTCGCGACTTTGTTCGAAAATAGTACCATGTGGTTAGAATGTAGGAACTGGAGGATGCGGGAAAATGATTCTCGCTGAATTTCGGCCAGCTTTCTTCTCAGACTCTACCGATGCTTCCCGCAGGCTTATAGAACGGCGCGGCGGGCGCCGTGCAGCATGTACAGAGCTGCTTCCGGGGTAGAAAATGCTCTGGATCCTCGAAGCTTGTTAGGGTAGAAGCTTCCTCGGGGTCGGCTCCACGCACAAGCTCGGGGAGGGAGGAATTATTCCGGAAAGTCCATGCGCGCGAAAAGAAGTTCCAATAAGAATTTTTCGAACCTTCTTCGCAGATATCCGCCAACAACTGCTCGATCAGCTGAGATGTCTGGACTACCGAATGGACATGCAGACCTCGATAGTCGTCGAAATCCAAGACTATTTCCGAAAACGCGCAGAGCTGGAGTCGGAGTATTCGAGACAATTGGACAAACTTGCGAAGCAACTCACCTTGCGACACAAAAACGAGAAGCCAAGGTGAGTATCTGTGATCGAGACGACCAATGCCCATTCTTGTGAATGGATCCCAGTTTCTTTGAGAATGTATCCGGTACGTCCCCATAAAAAGCTACAAGGCGTCTCAGCATGGAGCATCGTCTACCGATCCTGTGGAGTTCGAGTGACGATGGTGACGAGGAACTGTCAAGCGATTGATATCTCTATCTTCCGTTAATCGAGCGTTCCCCGCAGTGGAAATCGTCCAATCCTGGATTAAGCCGGCAAAGATCACGATGCTCGAGGAATATGGATTTCCTCCTCGAAGCGAAGGATGTAGGAGAGCAAGGAGGAAGAGCACCGGGAGAAACAAGTCCGCCGCGGAACTTGATATTTAATTACTTTCCACCTGTCTGTCTCGGGTGTCTGTCAACAAAGATCCCGGCGAGCCAAAGCTCCAGACTCCCCGCGAAAACATTCTGAGTTGCACGAGTTTTCTGACAACGTGATCATCCTCCGTTTCGGAGATCGCTCAGGCATGATCCTCCAGTCCGCTCCCCGGGCTCGCCTGTTGAGAGAGCTCTCTCGGAATTATGGCAGACAGTAAACAGATCTCTTCCACGATGACATTCGCATCTAATATAATGGCGTGTTCCGTATTCATCCCTCGCGACGGACTCTCGGATAAGATGAATTCTCATGCAGCAGGATGCGGCGAGAAATTCGAAAGAGGAAAGGATAGAAGAAGAGCACTCGGAAATCGAGTCTTTTTTCTGATTCGAAGTCCGCTATTCCCTCATTCTCGTCTTCGAACTCCATCTCTGCAGAAACTCTTGCATACCCGCAAAGGGGTAATAAAAGGAATAATCAGACTTCGCGATTCCGAACCATTCTAAAAACCGGAAAGGAGTCGACCTCCGAAGAGAGTTTCAGTCTCCCAGTATTCCAAGTCGGTAGGCGGCGACTGGGCCCAAGAATGAAGCTCTTCCTGATTTCAGGCGCGAGCAGTGGCATCTCTTCTCATCGTTCCAATGCTGGCAACAACTTATAAACACTACTCGAAAACAGAGCAGCGACCACGCAAAGGTTGTTGATTTTTTCTGTAGCCGCCAAGAAGCGCAACTCTCATTTATCAGGCTTCCGTTCTCCGTGCGAGTAAGGGAGCTTCATCGTTCTGAAGCCTCCCACCGGAGATTACCGGAGAGCGAATGTTTCACAGGTTGCCGAGGTGTACCAGTCGCACATGATAAGCCGACTGCAACACGTTGCCGAAGATCTCGCGCGGATCCATCGGAAATGTCGGACAATCGGAACGGATCAACATGAGGAACTCCTCAAAATTCTGCACGAACTCCATACGGTGAGGAAAAGCACTCGTTACGGGTCGTGGGGAAACGTCCACAACCTCGGCAAAACGCCGACGCCTCCGAATCTTGATCTAACGAATATTCGCTCATTTCTCGCATCAGACCATGAAAACCTACCACACATATCGAAGCATGGAGCAACAAGCGGCAACGAAACTCGCAGTAGTTGAATCGAATCGGGTGAAACTTGAACAGGGTCTTCCCAAAGACAAGGTTGACAAGTCTCGGAGGTAAAAATCTGCTTCTCCTTTTACTTATTCTCTGATGCCATACCCCCCCTCCTATTATTTATCACACTCTCGCTGGTGACAACAATGGCCTCGATGTGCATCTGGGGGGCGCCGATCTAACGAAGCGATAATGATATCAGATATCGACTCATCTGCAAAGAATGGCAAAAACGTTCAGACAAGCACGACGAAGCACGCATCAAGGCGCTCAAAGCGCGCAACGAGTACGTGCTCTGCATGGAAGCCGCGAACGCGGCCGTCCAGAAGTACTTCGTAGATGACCTTTCCGAGGTGATCGATGCCATGGATTTCGGTTTTCACACGTGCTTCTCGCGCACGATGCTCATGTACAACTCTACGTTAGACTGTTTGCAGCGATCTCTCGTAGGCAAGTACGGTTGCAGCTCTGGGCCATTGACAGTCAGTTGATCGCTGTTAATTCGATTTTGATTCCGAGTCCGGCTGCGCGGGTCGCTGAAAGTTTCTTTTCTCGCAGGCAGCCAAGAAGGAATGAAGAAATGTCTCGAAAGCCTGGACTCGCGAGCGGACAAACAAAAGTTTCTCGAATACAACAATGCAGCGTTCATGGCGCCAAAAAAATTCACATTCCAGGTGGGGTAATTTAGGTTTGGAAACCTCCGGATAGCACCGCTGTATCCGGAGGTCATGGCGCTGTGGCTCCGATTTTGTAACATGTTGTAGTTCTAAGCACGTGAAATCTCATAGAATGGAGCGTTTTCAGGCCCACAAAGGTGATCTGAGTGTGATCTCCACAAACGCGAACAATGCAGGAAATGTACAGGTGAGAGCAGTGAGCGCTTTCTTCAATCGTTGTCGGATACACGAACTGATTTCGAGTCGGAAATTCGATTTCGTCAATCAGTCCCGGAACATCGACCAAAGGCACCGTCCTTAGTGCCCGTCTCGGACTACGTAGGAGCAGGCTCCGATTGTTTCGGTTGTCGAAATCTCGCCTAAGGAAAAATCTCCCTTTCTCCTCCCTCAGGTGCAGGTAGACGACGCCATTCATGAAGAAATGGAGCAGCGTTTTCGACAGCTGCAAAAACGTCTCACGGATCTTAAAATTGAAAACGAGGAGGTACGTCCGAACTATAACTCCGCTTCTCCGTTTGGTCGGACACCGTCAGGCTGGATATGGTCCAGTACTAGATGATTCGAGCTCAGCAGACTTCCGAAAAACGAGTTCATGGGGGGACCCTGCAGCCGGCGGGCAACATAATGGAATTCGAATTCAAATTCCAGGTTTGGAAAACGCTAGAGACGGCGGAAAAGACTTTGATGGAGATGATTGAGTCGCGGGACTACGATGTTTCGCCGCATTTCGACTCGGATTCCGACCAGCCGGCGGTGAGTTATGTCCTTGTCCTTTCGTACGCACGTTCGCTGAATAACACGGGTACGGAAGCCAATCTGAAAGCATCCGGAGAGTTGAAAGAGTTCCCTCTTTCGGATGAGAATTCGCTGAGAGTTCCTTGCTCGTCGACAGGTGAATATCTTGAATTCTTCGGTGCCCTCGTGCGCAGCGCCGTATTCAATGGATCTGAAACCCACGTCTCCACTCAATGGAAATCTGATACCCCGACCGCCCGAAACAGTATCAATCAAACTCCGCGCCGACAAGCAAGAGACCGAAGATTTCTATTTGGAAAAGTTCCGGGAGTTCTCTATGCAAAACTCTGTCATTTCACGACTTCAAGCTCGAGCGGATTCGCTGAGCAGCGCCTTATCAAAAACTGTCACCGGTCTCGAACGAGCCAAGAGTAACGCCGCCTCATTCGGACCGAAAAGACCGCGCCGGAAACGCATCGGACGTCAGGTAAGCTCCGCGGAATGCAACGGAGAGATGTATTCGGAATTTCTCAAGGGAAACGCTCATAGCTCCTTTCGGTGAACGCCGCCTCTGATGGAAGCTTCCATTGCAGCCCATCACCGGCCAGCCGAGGTTATTCGGCGGCAGCTTGGAGGAATACGTCGATGCGACCGGCCATGAAATCCCTCTCGTGATCCGAAGTTGCGTACGAGTGATCAATCTATTCGGTCTGCATCATCAAGGAGTTTTCCGAGTATCCGGGTCACAAGTGGAGATAAACAATTTCCGCGAGTCTTTCGAACGCGGTGAAGATCCTCTGGCTGACGTGTCGGATGCCTCCGACATCAATTCCATCGCCGGCGTGCTCAAACTCTACCTCAGAGAGCTGCGGGAACCCCTATTTCCCATTTTCTACTTCGACCAGCTCATGGAAATCAGCCGTAAGTTGGTAACACTTCCTCCTCACTTTCTCTCTCCCTCTAGATCGGGATTCGCGCGTCGGCACTTTCATCTCAGGAGCAAACTCAATACGGACGCGGTATGACCCGGGGCCGGAATTGCTTATGGACGGATTTTTTTCTCGAGACCTTCCCTCAGAGCCGAGTGCGACTGCGGGTATTCGCGGACGGAGATCCATGCCGAGCTTACTCTTTTCAATTCGAGTGAGGGGCGCGGAATCCGACTTTCAAGCAGCCGTCGAGACCCGAGTTTTCCGGTTCTGCTGCCTCAGAGAAGGAGAGAGACTCGACATGCTCGAATTGAATAGAAGAAACGCTTTGAGAGCCAGACCGGCTGTTTTCCCGTCCTTGTTTCAAATGCGGTTGGAAATTAGTCGCAAAGTCTTGGAATTCATTTAATCAAGTCTCTGAGCTCTTCAAGGTTCAACGAATCCTAGCTAGAAGATCTCTTTTGCATAGTATTGACTACCTCCTTCAAGCAGGCAGACGGTAGGGCGCGTGGGCAGCCGGCCGGCCCGTGTGCGATCCAGTGCATTCTCTTTATGGGAACAGCGGCGAGTCTCGAACCAGGATCGCTGTGATCTCGGGGCATGGCTGCAGAGAGAATTTTGCGACGCTTCGCTCCTAGACTCGTGAGCCTAGCCGCGGGAATAATCTCGTTCTCGTTTACCGCAAGCTCCGTTATTTGGGGGTCACTGGCGACGCAGTAGTTCACCAACTCATCGTTCCTCCAATTTTCGCAGAACTAAGCTCAAAGAAAGAGTTCATTGCGAAAGTGAAGGATGTCGTTCGCAACTTACCGAGACCGGTTTTCGTAGTTCTGCGATACGTATTTGCATTTTTAAATCAGTGAGTACACTTTTGAACCTCTATGATCGATTAGCACGATTTTCTGTCTGAGAAATTATCCACCCTGCTTCCCGTTGCTGACTCCTCTCTCGCCGTACAGTCTATCGGAATTTAGTGACGAGAACATGATGGATCCGTGGAACTTGGCCATCTGTTTCGGACCTTCTTTGCTACCGATACCCGAAGACAAGAATCCAGTTCAGTTCCAACCTCTCGTTAATGAGCTCATCAAAGGATTAATCGTATATCAGGTGGGAATTCAGGATCAAGCGAAGCCCCGCTGGTCCTTATCGTGCGTCGTGTGCGGCGACTACGAAGTCTACGCGTCGATTCCCGATCGGATTAACACGGATTCTTCGAATGAAACAATTTACTTTGTGACGATAAGGCTTCCGGCTTACAGGAAGAGATCTTCCCTGATTCGGACGGCGGCACTCTATACGAGAAATACATAAGTTCCGATCAACCACCGTTCGATCTGGAGTTGGACGTGCCGCCATCAGATGACTCGCAGAATATCTCAACTCTCCTCACCGATGAAGACGAGGCAGAAGTCGATGGACCCGCCGATGGTATGGAGCGGAAACGAATTTTCTCGAGTAGCTCCGACGAGAGTTCCCTTAGCGACCTATGGTGCAGCTTCGTCGATAAATCGTCTTTACGGCTGTTCTCGGCCGCAGTCGAGCTCTTCTCTTACACCAAGCTCCGAATTACAGATCTAGTCAACGAGCCCGGGATCTCAATTCAGCTTTTTGGAAGTGAGTCTGAATCTTATCTCCGTATGCGAGAGAATATTTGCATGGCTAAGAGAATTTATCGGAAAAAAACGCTCGGAGAATCGCTCGAGGATCTCGGGCAGCTGTTCGGGGCTCTTGAGACAATGAAGGTCGAACGAAAGATCCCTCCGCGTGGACTCTGGTCACGAGGGATTCGAATCGCATTCTCTATTTCTTCAGAAGAGGAAAGCATGGACGCTGTGGCTCTCTACGATTTCGTGCCACGAACACCGAGGGAACTCGCGTTCCGGCGTGGCGATGCCCTCCATATACATTGTCAAGTTTCCTCCGAATGGTGGAGAGGTTCATGCAGAGGCCAGGAAGGTCTCATTCCCGACAATTTCATCATGCTCAACTTGAGGTGGGTCCGTGGAGAGTCTCGCATCGTATGGGTGGGGCTGTTGCCGAGCCCCGGGGTTTTTTCATTAGGTCCCCTCCCACATTGTTGTACGCTGGAGCTAGAGAAAAAATAAGCTTCTATCCTGCAGAGAATGGGAACGCGACAAGCTCTCTCAGGAGCGGCGAATGTCTTCTACCTCGTCGGAGAGTTTGAGTTCATCGGGGGTGTCCCCACAACGGCAGGCGTCGGAGTCGCTTCATCCTTCGCCGAACCGGAGTCATTCCCCGCCACCATTGTCGTTAACGGATCCACGGGGTCGCCGAAGGTCCCTAAGCCCAACCTCACTCGGTACGCTCGCGGCGCTCAAGGACCGCGACAGCTCAAGTAGACTTTAATCGTATTGCATCGGAGTTATTGAAGCGATGCAATTATTTTGTGTTGAACCAGCGTTTCGCTCGCTTCATACCCGAATCATTAGACTTCTCGGCCGAGGCCGGGACAGAGTGTCCCAGCCGTTGACATTAATGCCCTGCATGGTCAGAGATTCTTCATAGCAGCAGTAATCGGAATTCAGCTTTCTCTGTATTATTGATTTGCCCGTAGGCAAAGCGACTTCGTAGACCGTAGCGTGAATATTGATCGACGCGAACATACTCCAAGATATTTCCCCAGTTTCGATATTTTTGATTTATTTCAATTGGACATGAGCCCGAACTCACTGTAGTACTGTGATTTCTCTCGCGAGAGCATTCTACGATCACGAAACCGCCTCACCGTGCACCACCCGCTTCATTTCCCGAACTTCGAGCCAGCTCGCAATGAGCTGGGTTTGAGAGGAATAAAATCCATTATTAAAATATGATTTCATTTGGTTCCTTTTTTCCGTGTTCTAACACCGGTGGTCGTTCGCTAACAACGAGAGCAGTGACGTGGAATCGTTCTTGACCGGGTTTGGACGGAGCTCGGAGTAAGTTCGTACGAATGTGTGGTGACTGGAGTTTCTAACACCGGGGGCATGATCTTCTGCTTCCAGGCGGACTCAAACTGCATCAGTACCATACACAGATGGCGTCCCTAAAGTGGAAGTTGCGGCCATCGACGAGTGTGAACGATGCTCTAGAAACGACGTCGTCATCGTCTCTCGAAGACGTTTCCGCGTTGACAGGTAGGAGTGCGCCGGCCAAGGAGCCCGAATCTTTCCCGTTGTTCCGCTCCGCCTTTTCTGATGGAGGTTTCCCCAATTCTATCGATTACCCTCGCGAGAGTTTGATCCTGACTTCTGACTCATGAATTCGTTTTGCGTATTAGGCGCTGTATCTAAGCTTCGCAGACAGAGTCCTCTGTACGCGCGGCACTCTCCGATGTTCCAACGGCGACCCGATGAAATCGATTCGAATTCAACCTCTGATCTCGCCAAAGATCTTTCAGAGGCTTTGCACTCCATCAGCACTCTCTCTATCGAGCACAGCGACTACGCCGAGGTCAGTCATCAATCCGAGTGTCGCAACGTCACAGAGTTCGAGAGTTTCTATCGATCGATTTCTATAACAGGCTCGATTCGAATCCGCAGAGACCTCCATCGCCTCCTCACTCGGCTGGATTGGCGGCCCCACCTATAGTTTCGCTTTTAGCGAGTTCGCCCCTAAGTGGCCCCCCGTCATTGCCGAGTCTTGTGGGGTCCCTTGGATCACCAGGCGTGGCGATAAAGAGAGATGCCCCTGATTTAGTCCAGGATCTTCCTCCAACAACTTCAGGCACGTCGAGCGGAGGTGAAGAATCCGACGCTTCTTCGACCTCGCCTCAGCTGCTGCCTCAACGGTCCATCTCCCCGCTGCTGTCCAAAAGAAACTCGCTTCTGTCCACAGAACCTCCTACATCGTCACTTCATCTTACGACCGCTGAGCGGTTCGCGCTCACCAACCAGTGCACCATGCGGAAGGGCTCTCCCAGGTGAGTGAGCGAACTTTTCCTCCCGTACGCGTACCTTTCCCCCCCCAAACGAGTCCCTATCGAGAAGAATCTGTCTCGATCCATCATGATGATCCAGGGACCTCGGATTTGCCGAAGAGGTAGTGCCTCGATAACCTTGTTCAATTCTCCCCGTATAGACCGAGTCCTCGCAGCGAGCACGGAGTTGTTACCGTGAGCTCATCAACCTCATCATCGCCGGGAGTGCCAATGCCTCCCCCGATTTTCTCCTCCGCTTCAAGCAAGCAATCTCGTCGCAGTTCCTGCGGAACGTTGTCGCCTCTCTCAGCCACAATTCCAGCATCGGTGCAGAAACTCAAAAGGATGTTCACCGAGCCCGAGAAGCAGCCTGCACAGCTGAGCCCCAAGCCGCCGATTAAAGCAAAGCCATCGGCCTTACTGAACCGGCGGTCACATCCACTCTCACCACGCGCAACTCCCCCCGACAGCCCTGGCGTCTCGTCCGTCGAATCTTCTAATGCTGCTGTTAACACTGCTTTATCGTCAGCTTCAACATCCCCATCATCATCATCACCGTCTTCCGCTCAAGCCTCTCAATTGCGGGAATACAAACAGACTTATTGTTGAATACGTGTGTTCAACTCTATGTACAGCTCTCTCAGGTTCTGTTCCACTTGGATCGTATCGCTCCTATGCTGTCGTCGAAACCATAGGTCAAGTGAGCTTCCCCGAACACTCGGGCCGTCAAGGGGAGCTTCCCGGGTCCTGTGTCCCGCGCTTCGCTTGTTGAACACAAATAGATCAGGGTAGCTCCTCTATGCATGACAGTCTGATTTTGACTCCAGTAGTTTTTGAAGTGGAGTTTCAAGCTTCGTCATTTCACATGCGCGTTGCACCTACCGCGCAGATCCAACCAGGGACGACGAGTCGTCGTGAGATATACAGGCTGTGTTTGACCATGTTCTGGAATTCGCCATTCTTCTCTCGCGGAGCGCCTGACTTCCTATAGCTGCTCCCTGCGTTCCCCGATCAACGAGGGAAGGCTCATAGCGACTTTCCACGGGAAATAAGCGTATGGATGAGTTCAGTCCAAGTTCGGCCGGAGAGCCGCACGTCCGCGAAACCCGACTTCCCCAGTACCGATTTTCCACATGAAATCATCTCCTTTGTCCCGGTCGCTGGATTGATCCGGGCCCATCCGAGGCAGATTTCTCCAGAGACCGTTTTTCGGAATCGAATGCGACCTCCGTCGGATTCTTGATGTTAAGAATCTTTCTCGGCTCTATGTCGCCCATTCTCCTATTATTCTTTTCGACGATCTTGACCATCTGACACCCTGTCAGATGCTTGGCGCACTCTCACTTTTATCGCGGGAACCCGATTAATGCAATCCCTGTCCATTGTAAGGAACGTGCGCCGCCAAAATATTTCATCGCCGTCGACGACAGCTATATTCTCGATCATTCTTGACTGGTAGGAATTAATAGTTTCTAACTTAGCGACACTTGCAAAGCTTGCCAATCCAAGCGTAAGCTGAAGCGCCTACGAACTGGTACCATGTTCAGAACTCAGCCTTCCGTAGCCGTTTCATTCGCTCTACCGACATAAGCTCCTTGGAACTGATTGGAGTGGGGAGGACATCTCGAGGGAGGTCGATGCGGAAAAGTGGGGAACTCTCTCGATATGCGTGGCTCCCATCTCAAGGGGCTTACTGTCGGTCGGATGAGGATGGAAAAACTTACTCAAGGCCGTGGAATGTTGTAAAAACATGAATTAGTATCGAAGAAGGAGCCGTCGACAGAGTTGATGATGCCGATGGTAATAGTGAATTTTAATACATCATCCATGGAATCAACAGCGACATATATCACGATAGAACAATCGGCATGTGAGGATGAACCGAAGGATATTTGATATAAGTGGGGATCTCCCATATTTATACTCGGTTCTCAACGCGTCTGACGATGCACTTGATGCTTAACGAGCGCATATACCCATGTCACGTCGTTGATCATAGGTGAGGAAAATCGACAAATTTTATCGGTGGAGTTTTTCGGTGAGCAGATTGAAAAACTCGTCACGTTGTTGTTCGATGACGCATCGAGTCGCTTGATCAGTTGACTCGAATCGTACAGAGGGAGCCTCTGTTTTTCTGATCTCAATGTTCTCCCGACCCAAATGTATATACGTGAATCCATTGTGACGAATTCATTTTTTCGCTCTGATTGTCTTTTCAATTTGAAATAATAAAGTTTCTGAGTCTCCTCGACGAGACCTTCTCCCTCAAAAACGCTCGGAGGCATGCACATCGACGAAATATGGCGAATGAGTCTTCGGGGAGTCAAGATCCATTTTCGTAGCCTTCGGATGCCATGGGTAGTCCTCAGCCGTCACGCGGCGTCCCTAACCGAACTCAAAGAATTCAGTGCGAGGCTTGGGAAAGTGCGAGAATCAGCACCGTTTGAGCCCCGTTGCCATAGGTTTCAAGGATTCGTCCCGTGCTCCTCACGGATTCAGGCGAAATTACGTAACGCTTCGCCGTGCTCTAGCATCGTGCGCTGGATAGCGAAGCGCACCGGATGATCATGACTAGGGCCCGGATTTCTATGCATTTTCATACAAACGCATACTGCATATATCCGCATATATCCGCATATATCCGCATATATTCGCATATATTCGCATATATTCGGATATATCCGCATATTCATGCGCATATTTACGCGCATACTTATGGGCATGTTTCGCATGTTTTCACGCATATTTTTACGCATAGAAATCCGGGCCCTAATCATGACGATCGATCTCTGGAGAGGAGAATCGGACTCTCTGATCGCGGGGGACGCTTCTCTTCAAACAAAGATCGGTATCATATTGAAACCATGGCTTGAATTATTTATACTCAGAACTGTATCTATCTACAACCCTTCTGCCCTAAATGTAACTTGGTCCGGGGGAAAAGACGGGAATTATGTACAGAATCGAATCTCTCCCTACTTCTCCTCAACTCTTGTACTCGGCGTTCAGAGCACGGCCGATTATCAATCGTCGGATCTCGCTCGTTCCAGCTCCGATTTCGTATAACTTGGCATCGCGCAAGTACCGTCCGGTCGGATTATCGTTTATGTAGCCGTTCCCTCCTGGAAAGATTCTCGCGTGAGCGGAGCTCTCCACAACATGGAGAGCGGGTCAGTCCCACTGCTCCGAATAGCTTTGACGAGTCGAGACACGATCCAATAGTCGCTGGATTGACCTACCAAGCAGTTGGATTGCGTCCAGCGCAACCTGAGTCGCTTTTTCCGCGCAGTGTAGAATGACCCCGGCGCAATCCTTCGAGAGGACATGGCCTTGATCCACGGCTCGTGCAGTTGAATAGAGATAGCTCCGACAAGCGTTCGTCGTGGTGTACATGTCGGCGATCTTGGCTTGAACCATTTGGAACTTGCCGATCTCCTGACCGAACTGTTTCCTCTGGTGAACGTATTCGAAGGCGGCATCGCAGCTAGCCTGCATCAGACTGGTGGAATGACCCGAATTTTTAATCTTCCAGAATCGTTCAGACAAGCATCAATTTTGTCGAAGTTACGGAACACATCCGATTCTCGAGATTGTTACTCACCCTACAGGCCCGGCAGCCAGCACGAGACGTTCGAAATCGAGACCGCTCATCAAGACGTACATTCCCCTGTTGATTTCCCCAACCAAGTTCTCGGCGGGTATGCGACAGTTCTCGAAAACGAGCTCGCCCGTGGGCGATCCTCGCATTCCCAATTTATCAAGTTCCTGAGCTACCGTGAAACCAGGCGTTCCCTGTACATGCGAGAAATCAAGCTTCAGATCGCCTGCGCCCCGCACGCACGTCTAGCTATTGGAATCAGCGCATCGGCTGCTCACTTTTTCGACGATAAAGGCGCTGATTCCGTGCTGCTGCTTCTTTGCATTCGGATCGGTACGAGCGTACAGGAACAGCACGTCGCAGTTCGGACCATTGGTTATCCAGAATTTGCTTCCGTTCAGCACGTATTCGTCTCCGTCACGGACGGCCGTGAGCTTCATGGAACCGACGTCGGATCCCGACCCGGTTTCGCTCATAGCGAGGGCTCCGATGTGCTCTCCGTTGCACAGCTGCGCTCAAAGGGTGAGAAAGGATATCGGTCGTGGAGAGAGGATTTCGCGAAGATGTCCAGTTGGAAAAACTCAATATCGATTATTGCACCCACCTTCGGAAGATATTTTCTCCTCTGCTCTTCTGTGCCATTTTTGTGGATCTGATTCACACAGAGATTCGAATGTGCGCCATAACTCAGGGCGATAGAGCCAGAAGCTCGAGACATCTCCTCCATGATGATGATGTGATCTAGATAATTGAGTTCCGAGCCTCCATACTCGCTCTTGACGGTGACACCCAAGAATCCTTGCGAGCCGAGTTTCTTCCAGAAATCCTGGATGTTTGAGAATTCACTTTCAGTATTTATCATTGTATTATTTTCACCATCTCGAAGAGTCTGTCGACGCAGGGCTGTGCTAGCCGACGCAGGATCTATTTACGCACTCTGAATTGCCGAAAGTGATTAGTCTTGTCGATTTCCTGTGCGTGAGGCGCCAATTCTTTCTGGAAAAACTGGAAGGCGCTCTGCCGGAGCTGCAAAGTAAATACATTCTCTGTCCCTAAAATTTCCCGGGAGAGTATCGCTCACATGTCAGATTCCGGCACCGTTCTCCCCAGGAGAGTCGAGAAAAGCCTCACCTGTTGCTGTTCTTCCGTGAGACCGAAACAGACATCGGGTACGGGATAATGTGAAGCTAGTCTCGACGGTGGCCTCAGAGATAATCTGGGCACCGATCTGGCAAGTTGACGCAGTAGCGCGCTCATGATAGCTCGAGAGGCTGAAAACACTGCCGTCTGATCACCGTGAAGATCAGTGTGGTTGTGGAAGTGCAAGGAGCTCGAAGTCAGAACGTTCACTCCATCGAACTGATGAGGAAATTCATAGTGAGACCCGTTTCGCCAGGACCGAAGGTTAACTCAAGAAAGAGGAGAAGACTATCTGTCTGGCCCTCTTTTCGATACCGCAGATGTTTATCGTGTCGAGGAGGGCCTTCTCCATTATCGAGACATGCTTTGGTCAAGGGTACAGACAGACGTCGCTGTACAGCTAGTGGAGAGGGGAACCCGAAAGTGGATCGTCACGAGAGAACACGTCAACAGGCGGCGCCAACTTTGAACGTCGCGTCGGCCCCTTGACGATTCCGAATCCTGACAATTCTTTCCTCCGTTCATGATCAAGGCTGGCAGAGGCTCTTCCCCTTCTCGCCCCCCACCCCACCCGGTTCCCCATCAGCCGGTCGCCGGAGCTCACCGCGGATGACGTCGCTCCATGTTAAATCGTCATGAGCGAGTCGTCATCGCCTTCGCGCCTAATTAGGATCATGCATCTTCTTCAGGGATCGCTATGAACTGGGAGACCTAGTATTCTCGCTCCTCTACAATGCCGATGTTTTGACACGAATCGGGATTATTAGTCTTGCGTTTTGCCCCGAGGTTCCAAATAGAATCCAAGTCATCCCGATGGACGCGATGGACCTCGATTCCGACGGTTCCTCGCCCGTGGAGACCCTCAGCGAAGTCCGTATGGTCATATAACACTCCGATAAATGTCCGAATGTTTGGAATCCGGAGTTTCAGTCAGGGCTCAGACGCTCGATCGATGAGAGCTCCTCTAGAATTCACCGATTAGACTTGGATCCAACCCCCAGCGCGGGAGGAACCCTCCCGAATTCGAGGAGCTTATATCGAAAGTGGAAAAGCCTCCCATTTTTCCCTGCGAGAATCGTTGCGTTTATTTAGACTTGCGTCGACTCAACGAAATCCAAGCGGAAAACTTTGCCCAGCGTAGGCGGTGAGTGACCTCAGATTTCACGGACGGCTTGAGCGATGGATTTTGCTGAAATGCCAAAGACATCGAGAAGAACGGAAGGCGGTCCCGACCGGGGAATACCGCGCACGCAGAGATGTCGCAACTTGGTTCCTGGAGCCTGGGCCAGGACATGGGCGACGGCGTCCCCGATGCCGCCCTGCTCGTAGTGATCTTCAACAACGATGACGTTGTTGCCGCACTCTGCCGCGTTCTGCAAGATCGCGGTGCCGTCGATGGGCTTCACCGAGAAGATGTCACAAACTCGTATGTTCACACCCTCTTTGGCGAGAGTCTCGGCCGCCGCCAAAGCCTCGTGGAGGGTCACTCCAGCTCCGATCACGAGCGCTCTGTCGGAAGAGGACTTCCTCACGATTTTACACTTGCCAGGCTCGAAAACTTCATCGTTCGGATAGAGGATCGTCGTCGCAGGTCTAGAGGTTCTGATGAAAACAATGCCGTGGTAGTTGGCGGCGAGTTCGCAAGCACGTTCAGTAGACACCGCGTCGGACGGGTAGAAAACGAGCGATCCCGGAATCGATCGGAACATGGCGATGTCTTCGAGAGCCATCTGGGAGGGTCCGTCCTCCCCGATCGAGATCCCGGCATGAGAGCCGACGCATTTGACGTTCGCTTGGGAGATCGCTCCCATACGCAGTTGATCGAAGGCACGCGTGAAGAAGGCAGCAAACGTCGACACGAAAGGCACCGTACGTTTTCGGGTTCCGCATCCGACCGCAACACCTGCGAGAGAATCGTCTTTTGTATCGGATCGACCTGGATTTGAAAGATGGGCTGCGCGACGAGCAACGAGACCATCTTGGCTCGGGCCGTTCAGAGAGGAAACGCCAACGTACCGACGAGATTTTGTTCCGCGATGAAACATTCGATGAATCGATCTGGATGAGCTTTCTTGAACTTATCGGCGTAAGTTGAGTTCTTCGTCTCGGCGTCGAGAGCGATGACTCGGGTTGAGCCTTCGCCGAGCTTGGCAACCGCGGTTCCGTAGGCGAGACGTGTGGCGACCTTTTCCCCTTGGCTGTACGCTGGAGGTTTCGAGAGGGAGATGGCACTGGGTACCGTGGCGGGGGCCGAGATCGAAGGCGCTTTCATCGGGACTTTCGAGGGTCGCTTGTTCGACATTTTTCCTTCGATGGCTACGAAACGAGAAACATTCCGAAATTAGAAAAAGTAAATCTACGGTAAATGTCTGCGGAGGAATTCCTACTCGAGAACCTCTGCGTCCAGACATCGGAGTCAGAGATCGCTCACCTTGAATGGCGGCTGCGGCCTTGTCCCCCAGCGGCTTCCCGTGCCAGTTCTCCTGGTCCTCGATTCCGGGAATTCCTCTTCCTTTGAAGGTTTTCAGGATGAGCGCCGTCGGCTTGCCCTTGGTCGCTCGAGCCTCGGCGAAAGCAGCCTTCAGAGCCTTGACGCAGTGCCCATCGACAACGATAGAATGGAAGCCGAAAGCTTCACAACGGGCCTTGTACACGTCCATCTGGTGTTGGAGGCAGGTTGCTTCGCTCTGACCGAGACGATTGATGTCGAAGATGGCAACCAGATTGTCAAGTTTGTAGTGCTGAGCGAAATTCATCGCTTCCCAAACTGAGCCCTCCGCGGCTTCACCGTCTCCCATAATGCAGTAGACGCGGTAGTCCAGCTTGTCGAAGTGCTTTGCGGTGTACGCCATACCGGCTGCACAACTTAGACCTTGTCCGAGAGATCCGGTCGCCACATCAACGAACTCTAATTTCGGCGTTGGATGGCCCTCGAGTTCGCAGTCGATTTTCCGGAGATCCATGAGCCGTTCCTCGGGAAAGAGACCGGCGACTGCCCAAGCCGCGTAGAGGATCGGAGCTGCGTGACCCTTCGATAACACCAGTCGGTCCGAAGAAGCGTTCCTGGGATCGCTGAGTACTTGTTTCATCTCGTCGAAAAACAAAACCGACATAACCTCGGCGATCGAAGCACATGTTGTTGGATGCCTGGAAAAAGCAGTTCTCATGAAATTCAGCGAGCACTCAATGGATTCGGGAGCCGATATTCTATTTTGGAAAGCAGTCCCTCTGTTGACACTCGACATGACAAGAATTGCCGGATTATTCTCCTGCATCTCGGCGATGCCCCATCTCATTGACGTCGGCAGAGTTTCCGTTGACCGGTATCGCGAACTGACTATTACAGCAGGAAGCGCCTTGAGAAGATATTTTCTTAAGGGCGCGAAAAGATACAACCATTATCGCTGACGGAGCGACTTGAACGAGGAGACCAATGCCTCGATAGCGATTCAGGTTCGGGAGTCGCGTGAGAAAAACAGGAAGCGAAAATCAAGCTCGTTTGGTTCAGGCTCCTCAGTGGTCTCGGTATTCGAGCCTCGAGCCGAGGCAGGAATCGGGTTCGTTTCCTCGCGGACTCGTCGAGATCTGCTCGGAGAGTATTTATCCATCACAAGATATGATATGGAACCAGAGCTTGCGATGAGCTCAAGACGAAGTCGTAAACTTTGGCTAGTCCGCGAAGACCGACAGCTCGGCCGGACACGTGACCTTCGAAGTGTCGATCGGCCCGGGAAAAACGGAAGTCGGCGTCCGTATCGCATAAAATAGCGTCCTCACTGTCTATTCTTGGGGAGGTTCGCTTCTGTGGAAGGCTTCGACGAAACCGCGTGGGATTACGCCCCGATTACCGGGCCAGTATCCTCCGGCGATCGGCAAGCGACCATCCGAGAAAAGCGATGGCAGCGTGTAGCATCCGTTTGCATGGGATATTTCTGTCCACAGAGCTCCCAATCATCTCGATATGATAGCGGCTGTTCGCCACTGTGTTCACGGCGAACAGAAGAGAAAACAGGTCTCGAATAGGTCATTATCTTAGACATCGCTATTTCTGACCCGCTTAGGGTCGTTCCGCGCTCGTTTTTCTGCTACGAAGCAAACAGGAAAGTTTCATGCTCGGCCCTACGCACAGCTGTCAAGATGGTTCACGATTGACGATTCCGCCTGCTCGCGTTCGAAGGCACCTGTTGTTCAAGTGACGGGTGACTCCGAGCGACAGAATAAGTCAGACTCCGGTTTGCACCGACTTGAGGATTTGTCTATCACTACGATGCAAGTCGTATGGTCAGGATGAAAAATATTCCAGTTCCGACGCTGCGCAAGGCTCGCGCGATGAGTGGACTCACCCTGAATTCGATGCATTCGTACTCTGGATGGAGAGCACGCGGAGACGGTTGGCAACATCGTTTAGCACTTGATCGTCAGCCATTGCGGGAAAATAAAATCTCCTCGCTTCACTGGGATATGTCGTTGACAAGGTTGTGCTTGACAGTCGGTTCCGGCCGGCGGTTCTCGGTCGAAAGTGACTCCTGCAACAATCGCACGGGCGGTCTTAGACGTCCCGACTTGCGGGTAGTGGCGCCGGTGAGAGAGGAGGCAAGGAGTGGATTCCACAGGCAGCCCCGAATATTGCCGTTCGGAGCCTCTCGGGAGTGGGCTCCGATGGCTCAGTTCGCGGCTCCGCGAGGACACTCCCGCCTAGATCGAAGATAATTCTTCGGGCAGAATTTCCAAGCGGTCTTGAGGGCGAATTTCCTTCTGCACGCTGGACGATCGCCGAAGAATTGAGCGAGAGTCTTCGTTCAAAGCTCAGAGCCAGATCGCACGAAATACCCATGCTCAGTCTCGTTGGACCATTCCAGGATCCCTTTCCTCCCGGCTCCTTGTTTGCTCCCGCTCCCTGGTCGTTGTCAGTAAGCGTAGAAAGTTTCGTTTGACGGCACTACTTTCCCGGCCCCTAACGCGTGATGGCGTGCGCCTGCGCAGGAGATACCGCGCCGCATTTCAAACCCCTCTGTAGATATTCCTCCCTCGACCGGCTCTTCCACTCAATGCGTACTATGTATTCTCGAAATTGGCACGCTGATGTGGGAAATTTAGGTCGTTCGTTGAGCACAGTCTCCTCTATGCGAAGCTGTTCGAAACATCGTCTTTGATATCTGAAATCAGGCTAATTCTATGCATTTTGGAGGCATACGGGGAGAAACTGTCATTCATTGGTTATTGGTTTTGTTGGAAATAGAGAAACATAGTTAGCGATGCCTCCGAGTCACCCCGCGAGGACGCATCATCAATATCTAGAAGACCGCTCAAACATTCGCCTCGAGCTACCTGTCGTCGGTGCGGAATCATTGTAAATGGATTAAGCCGTCTTCAAGAGAAGCTAGCTAGAAGTCAGCCGGTCTCGGATTCTCATATCTAATTACATCCGGGTCTTATTGGCCCCGGGTCTGCGAAACAGTACGGAGTTGAGAATCAGAGCGGCTCCGCATACGCTTGCGCACGTCCACAAGTGCCGACAAAGCGCTTGGCTCGTGAGAGCCCAGTGTTTAATTCAAGGACCCTTAGTGTACGGGGGTGTGCTCATCAATCAAGTAAAAGGGGTGCCGGATCGGGCCCCTACATAGGTTCCCCTTTCTCATAAACCATAGTATAAGAAAAACAATCTTTCAATCAATAAACACACTGTTTTGCGGAAACTCTACCCGAGTGCTTCTTTATGGCTTGTAAGTACTAGATTCGGGAAATTCATCCTCCGCGTGGCTCACGACACCCTCCACGGAGTGGTCGACACGCGTCGGTCGCTTGAGCCAGATTCCTTGATCGATCTCCAAAACTGAACTCACATGAATTTTCGCAGCCGGAAGAGACCGGCCCGGAACTCCGAGGAGCTGGGGCACTCGTTTACGTTCCGCGCTGTCTCACTGAGGTTCTTCCATCCGACATTCCGAGTCCTTGCTATTCGACGGGTTCCAAGCGTGGACCCCAAAATCAGGAGTGGGCAATCGTTTTCGGCTAGCTCAAAGAATTTTCTCTAAACCTAAAGGGTTTTGTAGATGTCGGAGATCTCGCACCGAAAGTATGTGTACTGGGCGGGACTCATTTCCACAACGGGATAAAAGCACGAAAGCTGGAGCATACCTTGAGCTCCGCGGGTCCCAGTTTGCCCACCCCTGCTCTAGATCGCTCCTCCGCACGAGGAATGCATACGGTCCTGGGACAACCTCGGATCCGGGCGCAGCACTAGGGTTTCTCAGCATGCGAGCTGGGGATATTCGGGATGCCAATGCCTTCCCATTACCTATCTCGTCCTTATCTTCAGATCCCTCAAGGGCTCAAGGGGGCGTTCCCGAAAAATGCATGGACGGCCAGAGATTTCCATCCCGGGCTCACGTTGGTTCCAGACGCCGCGCTGCGGCTCAACCGAAGTCTCTGAAAGCTTCGACCAGGACAAGGCTCTCACTTTCTGATCGTACTAATATTTATTGGTAATAGAGCTCCATGCGTCCAACCTAAACATCATTTTCGTAATCCGCTGGGTTCTTCCGTGAGAGTCGCTTGTTCTCTTTCACCGCCCAGTCGTACAGAGCGTAGTAGAACAAGGCGGCTGAAATTAATCAATACAATAGAATGCTTCACCCTCGACGATGTTGTACTGGTGATTCCACAATCATTTCATGTTTAGGATTTTCGATGGTCCCGTCGGGAAAGCTAGCGAGATATTCTACTCACGTGGAAGGATGTAAAAGATTTGATCATTAATCCTCCTGACCATATTCGGGACTCCTTGGGAAATGATCCCTTTGAAGGGGTTCTGCTCATAGTGGCTCACCCTGTAGTACACGACCCCACGGATACCCTTGAAGAGATTTCCGAAGAACAACCCCATGGTGGAGCTAGGAAAAAAAAATATCGAGCTAATTCACGTGTGAGCTCTATTATTCAATATATTCGGATGATCAAGAGCTTCCGTTCGGAGTCAAGGCATCTGACGTTCTACAGAGAGTCTCCGTCGCGGAAACGTCGAACACCAGCATCCTCTGCCTGATTCTCCCGAGGGGTCACCAGACAAGGGGTGTTAGTCTCATGAGCGGCCGTTTCGCAATTCCCGGGGGAACGAGTCCTCTTGACCTACTCAGGAGGCAAAACACCACGGCGCTTATGGCGAAGAGACTCACTTTTTCGTCGCTCGAGTGTCCTGAGCTCTGAAGGACGATGGACGAAATCTGGTTCCCACAAAAACAAACAAGGTTTGTCGTCTGCTTGCCCGTGCCGCGAATTTCGAATCCCTAGAACCGGGCTCGCCGCGAAGCTGCCGAGGGCTCGAGAGCGCATCAAGGGCGGATAAAGTTGAAGTATTGCTGGATCGATGTCCGATGTTGGCACGAAGGCTTAGTTTATTGGCGGAAGATGACGTCTACAGCGTTGAGGTCGGAGTATCCATCGGCAGTGGACTGCTCTCTCGATCGGGAAAGCCCTTCTTTCTCCTGTAGGCTCCCTCCTCAATCTGGACATCGGATTGGAATTCCCCTGACAGTGAGAAACTTCTCGCCACAAGCCGGGAAGCCGTCAATTGTTTGAAGGTCAACACAGTACATAGGGACGTCGAGCTCTGAATTTTCCGCGAGATTATACCTTCTGAATCGCAATGAGTTGCTCAGGCAGAACGCTGTGAACGACTTTCATTGGAAAAAATACCACCGGTTTGCGGTTTCACGATCTAGACTCTGGAGAAGTCTTTCCCATGATCTCTGGACGGAGTTGGTTGCAACCGATAACGAGCCTCAGAAGGCGAAAGAATTACCGTCAATCGCCTCGGAAAATTCCACTCCCGCACAGGTCTCCCTATTGAGCAAATATCATGGAGCGTCATTGTTTGTTAAGACAAGTCGGAATATTTTATTTGAATGCGGTGGTAGAGAACGACGCAGATGGAGCTGGTTGATTGTTATTCCTCATCAATCTCAAGAGTTATCGGAGTGGAAATCTTTGACCGTCTCGAGGAGTCCACCGAAGTATAACACCATACATCCGATGCAGATGGCTGACCATCGGTGGGGACACATCCTATCAGAGCACAGATTGGAAGTTCAACTGGCTCGTTCCGACGTAACTTATCGGACAAGGAATGCCCCTCGGGGGCGGAATGTTACAATGGGCGCACGCGAAAGGTCCTTGAACGTCCATGCGATTCAGATGCTCGCAGCGTTTCCGCACCTCTTCCAGGGTGAATGGGTATTCTGGTCCCGGTCCATTCCCATAGATATCCGGTTCTGCGGGGTACAGATCATCACCTGCGAACGAGGAAATTGCAGAATTGGAACCGGGGTAGCGGAGGATTCCGGCGATATGAACTCTCCCCAGGCAGTCTCGCCCAAGACTCACCTGGCAGGAGGGCGACGACGCCATCGTTCGCCGCTCCGACGACGGGCATCCATCTCTCGACGCCGAGACGCTCGCGCTCTCGAGCCAACTTCGCCAAATTATTAAACGAGCTCATGGTGGCCAGTCTCGACATCTCGTACACTTGGGGAGGCGCCAGGAAAACGCTGCCGCCGCTGTACTCTTCGAGTATCGCCAGCGGAGTGGTCCATCGCAGCGTTACAACTTCACTCTGATCTAGGATCACGTTCGGCATCTGATCCAGACAGGCGACGTAAAACATGGTATCGTACCTGGAAGAGAGGGAGGGAATTTCTCTTGGAGGAATGTCTGCTGCGGAATATTCGAACGCTCCCCATCTCCCGGATATCGGCCGAGCCCCTCACCTGCGATGACCGACGCTGATCGGAGTCAGCCAGTCCCACCATTCGTGCATCACCCAGAGGTTCGGACATAGTTTGTTCGTCAAGCACAAGTCCAAGAAAGCCCTGGGCTCAGACCGGAGCTTCTGTCTCCAAGAGTTCTGGTCAATGTCCTGCTCGAATGCGCGCATCGGCGCGCTGACGTCGGGCTTGCTGCTTGTCACGAGCAGCACGCCCGTTTCTTCGAAGGCTTCTCGGATTGCGCAGATACGGAGCGCAATGTCGGCCGGGAGAAAGCCTTCCAGAATTTCCTGCAATAGGTTTAGTCTACTGATTTCCGCGGTCTGCGCGGGAGTTCGATGTGTCGGCGGTACTGGATCCCCGTAAAGGAATAAATGTAAAATTTCTGCAACGCTCTTCAAAGAGACGTCGGTCGGGGCGGAAACTTCGACAGCGATCAGAATATTTCGATGTTATCCATCGGTTCGATAAGCGACGCGTTGAGGAATTTACTCCCGGAGTACCGTATTCCTGGGCGATCCCTTGGCGTGTTCCTATGTGAACAATAACGCTCCGTCAAGAGAATAATGACCGAATGTACCTTCTTCTCGTTGTGAGAGATGGTCATCGGCTCCTCAATCATTGGCGGCCTCGGTCCCTGCACGCAGTCGACAAACTCGCTTCGGAGCGTATCGAATGAAATCCCACACTGCTCGAAAACTTTAATCCACTCCAAGGAGAAATCCGACTTTTCCGCGAGTCCACCCGGATAGACGTAAGCGTTAGCCATGAAGGAGGAAAGCTGACTGCGCTTCACCATCAGGACCTGTGAATTGAGGAAACACGGACTCTTTACGTCTTGAGCGGCTGGATCCTGTTGAGGAAGCCTGTCACGGAGAGCTCCCCGCGCGACCATGGATACGCGCCAGTTTTACAGTCTCAATTGGAAAACTAGAAAAATTTTGAATCGAAGCACATACTTTGTAATCGAACCGTGAGATCCCATTGGTCGTCTGGGAGCCGTTGGCCCATTTTGTCGCAATCATCGTGTCCGCCAGGTCATTACCCACAACGTCGGACATCGGACTGCGACAAGCTAAAATAAGACTTGCAGCTTCCCGCCACGGTGGCGCATTCATTGCTGTGGACAAAAAGAGAGTTTCAAAATGTGTGAACTTCGCTCTTGACCGAGCCACTGATCATGATGATTTCCGAAAATGTCTTCTTAACGTGTACATCTGGTCGCTCGCACCATAACTCCTATTGAGGTATCCGTGCCGCCAGAATGAGGGCAACCAGCGTTTCGCTCAATTTGCCGTGATCCCGGATTTTGGGACGGTTAGAGGAGGCCGGGAGTAAGAGTTTTCGGCGTCGAACATAATTTGAGGAAAACTATTCGGAAACAATCGCACGGAGGGAACACCACACTCGCAGGTTGCCGGACGCTTATCACCGCATCCGGGACCGGGAGAGAAAAACTCGGTATTTCGGGCGATCCTCCTTCAGTTGTGATTTCCGTAAGACTCTGCTCCAAATAAACTCGAGGCTCCGTGGAAAAAATTGACCAAGCATCGGGTGGGGGTTTTCTCCTTAGGAAAAAATCTCGTATTCCGCGCGACGGTTACGCGGATCGGAGAGAGTGAAATCCCTCCGGAAAGAAGCGAATAACCTCGAAGCGTTCGCCACGGCCACTTTTTGAAGCTCAAGTTCGAGGTCGAATGAGCTTCTGATGAACGCGGATACGCTCGGCAGCGGTCAATATCTCGCGAGCCTTCACCGCACAGACGCCTTGAAAGCGGTGAAGGTTTACTTCGGGACGCCGCTTCGGAATTCAGTCTGGCAATTGAGAAATCTTATTCGGTAGGGTTTCGAAACCACGTTCCACTGACGGCTTTCGGGGAACGTTCGATTCCGAACGAAGGAACGTCGGACGGCATGGTAGGAAAACGAAACAGAGTGATAGAAAGAACAGCTCAGATCTCAGATAACCTAAGATAGTTGTCGTTCACGCAATACTGATTGCACGGAAATTCCTCCTCCAGTTCCGCAACATATGTTGCTGCGGAGCGAAGTGTCGATGGAGTGTCGGTTATTGGTCCCGCCCGGAAAAAGCACAAAGTTGAAGCAAACAGGAAAGCTATTTCTGGATTCAGCTCGGACAACACGCCCAGAGGCAAAATTAAAACGTCCGCTCCCGTGGTTGTACGGCTCGGCATGCATGTTATCGGCGAATTTCTCCCCGTCGCGAGTCGAACTGTGTCATCGATACATTTCCACGAAGAGCGCTGAGGATGCGGTCGGAGCGAGAAATTGAAACGCATCGTCCCAATCGAGACCCTCAAGAGGGTCTCCCTAGCGTTTCAATCGGAGTTTGGAAGGGGCTCTTCCATCGTGATTGGCACACTTCGGCTCGAAGACGAATCTAGGCTTCGCTGATCATAGCTAAGCACCGAAGAACCGATCGGAAAGCAGTGTCTTTCGGCAAGCCCTCAACTGACGGGTGCTTAGACCCGGGTCACGGAGTTGACATTCTTTTCCTTTTTTACTCACGGTGTCTGATTTTCGGGTTATCCTGAGGCATTTTCACTAGGTTTCCGAACCAGAGTCCAGCTCTTGTCGTTGAGGGAGTCGGAAGAATAAGATCTGGGTGCTGGTCACGACGCTGAGGTCTCCGAATGAAATGTTTTCGTCTAGGATCGCGACCGAAACAGACTAAATCATTTCGCCACCGGCATCCAACACGGAATTATTGCCTTTACCAACACAAGCACAGCGAGAAATGCTCCACCGACGACCCGTTTCGTTTCGACGAATCTAGCCACCAGCAGCGGCTGTCAGTCCATCGACCAACTGAAGTTTTGTGCGATGCGTGAGGAGCAGACACAACGTGGACCAAGGGAGAGGAGGAAGCCTTCGCTGCGAAAAGAACAGAAAGACCATCACCGTCTCCGGGCGGATCCTCTCGATCTCAAATCGGATGTGGGTACGTGCAAGAGCAGACTTACTTCGTCAGTCTCTCTCACCGTTCTCGAGAGAAGTCAGCGGATACTCGCCGGAATCTCGAAGAGGCTCGAGACAGATGGCGATCAGCGAGCTCGGGGTCATTCCTTAATCATCACGGATGTTCGAACGCACTTCGAGGGGTCTCTAATATCTGCCCCCCGAACATGATCCGAATTGGAGGGAGCTCGGGTCGATGAGGTTTCTTATCCGAACGGAGCTCAAGAGCAAATGATGACTCCGAACAGTCAGAATCAATTACCCTGTATTCGAAACGATGCATTTCGGGAGAAACCCATCTCATCAGCACCGGTACATCACTGCTCAGTGGATGGAGCATTCTGGATACTTCCGTCTGTGGTGCTGTGATTTCGCTTTCGAGGGTATTCTGTGATCTGCGGGAGCTTCGTACTCTCCCAGGCTCGAATGGAAAGATCAATAATCCAGAAGCAGCATGACGAGGGGGATAGGTATCCGAAATGGAAAAGTTCTGATATTCTCGTAATTGGCGTTCCGATCGAAGGGGGAGCGGGGGAAGTCGAAGCGGGCACCCAGTTCCGATCGTCGTAAAATGGATCTCTCCCTAATCAATCCATCTTACTAGATCTGGCCGTGTATGTGAACCGGAGCTGGTCCATGCGCTCTAACCGGCGCGAGTGCTTACATTTTGCATCCGGCATGCGGAATCGGAGAAGGAAGGAACCTTCCGACCACAAAAGCTCATTCAGAGCCTTGACCAAAAGGAAATATTCTCGAATCCAGAATCGGTCGGAATCTCGGTAATCAGATTGGACTCGCCGACCCGAGAACCGTGCCCGAATCTTTTCTTCGACAGTCTCGGTTGCAGTCGGGGAACGGGAGACCTCTCGGCAGCGAATACGGGAAACTTCACTGTCATCCTGTAATGAAGTATCAAGCATCAGCCATCTTAGCTTTCCCTGAGACGATTACATCATCACAATTTTTCCGTGGACGATCCTTGGAGAAAGGACCTCAGAACATCTTGCAGTTTCGGAACCGGACGTTTCGAATGTTCAAGGTGAGTGCATAGGTGGGTCTGGCAGAGCCTCGACTCGGAGATCTTAGACTTAGACGATGTGGGGTTTCCGAATGGAAGGGGATCCCTCCAAGCGGTTACAGTCGCTTCGCGCTCCAGATTACTTGATGGAACGAAGCCTCTTTTCTGAAACACTCGTCTTCGCCGACATGTTTGAACGAACTAAGTCTTCCGTTCGGAGCTCACAAGGAGTCAGCGTCTGTCAGATGTTCATAATTCGTGTCGTCGAATCTTGGAACGGCTTGCATGAATCCTTTGTGTGAAGAGCACAAGAGTGTGAACGGATCTAGCCATAGCGTGCCCTGCGGACGGGCTTGTGCGTGAACCAATTCTTCGACAAGGCGCTTTCCCAGCAAGAGAGCCTTAATGAGAGCATTCCGGTGATCAAATCCGTCGCATATTCGAAACTTGACCAGCTATCGACTGGTATATGCGCTCAGATAAAGTTAAGCAGAGAGTCTACTGTACTACTTCCGTGCAAGGTCTTGATGCCAATGTTGCGACGAATAAGGAGCTGTCTGCGCGAATCATGTTGCTCCCATCCATTACGGAAGACTGATGAATGCTCACGATTATCTGGCAAGATCATGACTCGATAGGGCGATTCGACGAGATGTGTTAATGAAGGTGTAGATTTCGGTGAGACGCTGGACTACAGCGCCGGCGTCAGAAACTCCGTCAGAGCGAAGAGCTTTCATAGCCGCGAGAAAATAATGTTTATGAGAAGGTTCCCACTCAAGTGGCCCGCAAGAGTTTCCTTGATTTTGGGTGGTTTGCTGTTCTGCTCTTCTTACCAGTCTCACCGGGTCATCGCCGGACTGAAGGCTTCCTGCCTCAGGCGAAAGATCGTTCAACACCAGTCATCATAGAATTTTTTCCATCTTCAGTCGACTGGGAATAATCTTGCCTGCCTGGATCCGTCAGAATTTATTATCCAACTCACACGGCGAACTCTTCGCTATAAACGACATGCCCCCTGCGCCCTTCAGGCGCCGAAGACAGGTCCAATTAGAGATACTGTTTCGAGCTAACAGGCATCCTCCCATCCGCTTCTGAAGTAAAAAGCTCTCATCACTGACTGAGTTCCGTCTTTCGACCGTGGCGATGCTCCAGGTCTCGTTCGGTGAAACCCCAGAAGGATGGGGACGTTTTCAGCTGATGGAGTCGAGCCCGTACCTATAGTGTAGGAGAATATTTAATGTTTAAATTTCAAATACAGGTCAGCCATAGTCACCGTTGGGCTTCCGAAACGCTGGGCGCCTCCACGAAAAAATAAACGAATAACGATCGGGTACACTTGAAGAGAGCCATACGCTTAAGACCGTCAAGAGGCATCGACCTAATCGATAGAGCGGAACATCGCGGGGACGTGGTCCCTTCTGGGCAGTATTTCCGCGCCATTCGATGACTTCAATGGTGCGATGAGTTGTCCGGAGTCAGCTCTTCATGTTCACTGGCAACGGTTCCATCCGTCTGCGACTCCGTGAAATTCGTTCTCTTCTAGGAAAATTTCTCTCCGCAGTAATCGGCTCCCGAAGTGTGTCCCGAATCGTGAAGTCATGCTGAGTAGCGCCAGACGCCGCGCTACGCGAACAGTTCTGAAATAACTAACCCGCTCAGAATTCGGAAGCAGACGTTGACGAACAGGGAAGAACCAGACATGCTTCTATGAATTCTGCTCCAATTTGATTCGCATCAGAAACAGACCGAGATTGAGATGCACAAATCTGCAGAGCCGGATTCCCTCGTGCATCGAGAGTCGTTGATCTTGGGGGTTCTGGTAACTGCCTAAGACAGGGAGTCCTTTCAACATATTTGATCCGCGTTTGAATCAGTCGAAAACGGCTCATTCTCAGAGATGTGGATTCCGGAACCGAGCATGAATAAATGCTCGACTCGGGATTTGAACTGTCGATTCTTTATTCTAATAAATTCGAGCATCTGATAGTGGGCCCCGAGAAGTACGTATCTCCCCATATTGTACTCCTGAACGTCGCGTCGCCTGGATTCCGAGTGGCAAGGTGTGATTTTTAATGGGGAATCATACCTAGCAATGCGAGTGAGCTGCGGACGATCGGCACGATAGTAATGTACGTGATGGTCGTCGGGATTCGACCCGTTTCCACAGGGAAGTCGCGTTTCTCACGGGAACAGCGGGGTACCTGGCTCCGGGCTGAGTCGGCATGCGGCACATGACCATAGAAAATCGACCCCGAATCCTGCAGAAAATTCTCTCCAGAACCTCACAGACAGAAGCTCGCTTTTGGAGTGAAAGAGAATTAGGAGGTGCGGTTTCGGGAAGGCGAATTTTCCGGCTGAGCGCGCTGTATTATCCTCTCGCTAACAGCGGAGCTCTTCGCGTGGACGCAAAAAACCGAAACTCTGAAGTCCCGAAATTTTGCGCCGTGTCACATCGAATGATGCCGATCTTTCTCAGCGATACCCGAGGATGTCAAGCTGCTTTAATGATGTCCGCGGAAGCAGGGTTTCCTCGCTGCAATCCTTGTGAGCCAGATCGAGGTTTCACACATTGGCTGGCTGGCTCCATTGAGTGCTGCTCCTCTTTAGTTTTTTGGCCACTGAGCATTTTTCTTTGATTTCCATCCGAATGAATTCTCCGGTGTTCTGACCTCTGCCGACATCTCAGAGAAATACCGAGATGAAACATCCACATGGTGTCTCCTTCAGCTCTCGTTTTGTCAATCTCCGCTCCATAATCTATTGATGTCGAAACGTTGATCAGAGAGAGAAAACTCGATTGATGAGCGGAGAACCGGCCGGTAGGGAATTCAGCTCCCTGAGCTAGAGATTCCCGACTTGGGTCGACCCTTTGCCTGGAGAGGGACGCTGAACTCTCCCTCTTCGGATGTCAAGAAAACTTTCCCTCGTGGAGGCTGCTCAGTCCCTGAGCGTGGACTCGACATGGTGACAGCAACTCTTTTCCGCATCTTTCGACCCCTTCGGCTGTGACGAGTGGATAATCTGATAACGGAACCCCGAATCAGGCGCCCGTCTGAGGCGAAGAAAATCACTCGACTCTCAATAGATGAATAGCTCCGCGGGAAACTTCGGAGACGCCCGAGACGAGACGATCGCTCATGTCAGAATCACAGTATTGTGCTTCTGTTTGTTGTTTACGCTGGGTGGAAACCTATTCGTTTTCCTGCTCGTCACCCGAAACAGGCCGAAATCCGTGCATCAACTCCACATCTATCACTTCATGGTGCACCTATCCCTGGCCGACATGCTCGTCGGCGTATTCAACATCCTGCCTCAGATCGTTTGGGAAATCTACTTCCGTTTCCGTTGGGGGAACATCGCCTGCAAGTTCGTCAAGTTCATGCAGATATTCGTCCTGTACCTGTCAACGTATACTCTTGTCGGACTATCTTTGAACAGTTCTTTAGTGGTGCGCTCTGGAAGCAGCAGTACTTCCTCGAGACTGTGGGTGATCCTTGGCGCCGGATGGTTCCTTTCAGCTCTTCTGGCCTCCCCACAAGTCTACATATTCTCATTCAAACAACTTTCCAACGGTGTCTACGATTGCTGGGGAACTTTCGACCCCCCGTTGACCAGCGTACGCTACGTCGTGTATTTCATTGCGATGGCACTCATCGTTCCCGCCCTGATCATGGGTGCCTGTTATTCGTATCTGTGCCGGGCCTCCTCGAAACGATTGATGAGCGATGCCAAACTGAAAACCATCCGGATGACTATGGTGATGGTTTTAGTTTTCGTTCTATGCTGGACCCCGTTCTGTTGTGCTCAGCTGTACCTGGTGTTCGGTGGAGAAGAAGCGTCGACTTTCGTGACCATGTGCCTTATGGTGCCGAATTTGAACTCGTGCGCGAATCCGTGGGTGTACCTCAGCTTCAGTACCGATCTCCGACGACGTCTCGTGAACTTTTGCTCACTGATCCATCTCCGTGGAAATAGGTACGGCGAGGAAAGTCGCAAACCTTGCACGCGGGCCAATGCCATCGTGTGTGAGAAACCTGCCCGACAGCTGAGGGGTTACAGGATCAGCTGACAGCAACTCGGCAACGGTCCGTGCTATCCACCGCGTCAGGAAATATGAAGCGACCTTTCCATATGAACAAAGAACCAGCGGGAATCTCTCCCGCGCTTGGGCGAAACGAGCCCGTTGATTTTAAGAATAACTCCGCTTCGTGGAACTCCCGCAAATTTTCTGCGTTGAGACGCGCCGAGCTCGTGAGCTCGGCCCGCAGCACGTTGTTCACGACACCGAGCGAACGAGAAGCCGAGCGGAACGCCTCACTGCGTCGAGGCGTCGCACAGTGGTCGGAAACCACGGAAAATCATAACTTCTGAACGGCTGGACCGATTTCGCTGAAATTTTTATGGTGGGTTATTGGGCCTAAAACGCAACTTTTGAGGATATAACTGGGTCTGGGTTTGACCCCGGTGACCCCGGGAATCGAAATTTTTCCACTAAATCGGCGATTGCGGCTAAACGGCGGAACCGATTTTGGATTTCTTGGTGGCGTTGGAAAGCTGAGTGAATTTCGCATCTTTTTGTCTCTTGAGAGTTTGACCTATGACCTTTCGTAAGCGAGCTAGCGGCCGATTCTTAGAAGCGCCGATATCTCCACGAAAATGCTTCGTTTTTTATCGCAAAAACGATTACGGTGTGGAATTGGATGATCTACCCGTTTCTGACGATATTACAATCATTTAGTAAAG